CCCAACCACAAACCCCGTCATTCCCCCCCTCCCACACCCTTTAAAATCTTTCCCTTGCAACACCACACATCCCATTCCTTCCAACAACTCACATGAGTATAGAATATGTCATAGGCACAAGACACGCCAACAGAGAAACCAACAGAACAAACAGGAAGAAGGTCCCGGATCTAGACGCTCGGAACACCCTTCTGGGCGGGACGCAGCACGCACGAGCCAAGCCGTAGTGGAAGTAGAAGAGCACCGTCTGTTTGACCACGCCCACCGCCGACAGGAAGGGGGCGGAGTAAAGGCCCAGCCAGAGCAGCGATTGGCCGTAGACCAGGTCAAGGATGAGACCGGGGACGTCGAAGTCGTCGTAACCCAGCTTGGAGATGATAAAGTGGGATTGTTTGATTGGTTATTTAATATCTACTTTTTTGGGATGTGAGAAAGAAAAGGGGAGGTGTGAGTGCGTGTGGTGGGTAGGGGATGGGGAGGGAGACCAGAAAGGATACAGGAAGGTAAAGAAATAAGCGAAGGGAATGAAGAGGAGAAAAACAGGTCGAAGATATTACGCATGAAAGGATACATACAACGTCAAATACTGTGATACATAAAACATGTTTGATATAAAATGGTACAGTCTGATATATGATACATACATGATGGAATAGTGTAGATACATAAATAGAATAGTGTGACATATACAACATTATAATATAATATGGAATAGTATGATATATGTGACATGATATGGCACAATGCGATATACAGAAGAGTTCACGAATCTCGAACACGAAAATCACGAATTCTCGGGTATCTCGACATAATGCTCGGTCCCATTTCAGTCCCTATGTTTTCTTTGCATTGACCGCACCGCATGACTGGCTCGCCACTTTGAGAAGGATAAATGTTGCGGTTTCATATCATTTTGCAGCTCGGTTAAAATTTATTACTTTTATTCGCCTTCTTCTTTAATGCACCACTTTGAAGCTCCCTTGTAAGCATAAATAATGGGTAAACAAGCCCCCCCCAC